CTTGCCACACCACCCCTCCTGCCCTGGCAGTGGAGGCATTCCTCCAGAAGCTGCCTGGGCAGGGGACAGGGCCTGACACCGTGGGTCCCATGCCAGGCACTGTGCTGTGCGCTTTACACACCTCACAGTGGCACTGTAAGTTTGGTGTTGCTATTCCCATTTTGCAGATGGAGAGACTAAGGCACACAATAATGGTGAGACCAGAGTGAAGCAGCAGCAGCATCGGAAGCAGATTAAGGGACCATCACTCCACCTCTCCATTCATCATCAGGGCACTTCCCCACTGAACACGGCCCTTTGAAGGAAGCTGCCCTCATTACCTTTCTAAGTTGTTGGATCTAAGGCCGCAGCCTATATGGACTTGGCAGGTCAGGTGGAGGAGGGCTTGCAAACTGTTCCTCATTTCTGGCCCAGCCAGGTAGGAGACAAGGTTCTGAACCTTTCCCGAAGGCTCAAGCAGAAGAGAAGAGGGAAGCTCCCACTCTTCTCTTGGGTATGGGAGCAGAGGGGGATGCAAGGGAAGGGGAGAGCCTTATTTGTCCTTTTCTCCTCCCTTCTCCTCAAATTAGAGCTTAAGGACCCACCGGCAGGCCTAGACAGAGGGGAAAGAAAGTGCACAGAGCTGGGGACAGCCCAGATGGGACAGGATCCCCCCACCCTCAGGACCTTCCAGGACCAGCTGTCTGAGGCTGGGCAGTCCTAAAGGAAATCAGTATTTGCTTTTCCCTCCAACGCAGTCAATTGCTCCTTTCATCTGACAGGGAGTTGTAAATGAGACTTTATGGGATTTCTAATGATGGCGGTTTCCCTTTATCAGCCTCCAATTTCCACTTCTCAGCTGGGGTTGACTCGGGAAAATGTTTTGACCAGGAATCAAGAATCTAGCAGGCCCCTGCCCTGGCTGCTGCTTTCCGTAGTGAGAGCTGGACGTTGTCGGATATGCACAGGAAGCTCACTACCGAGAAGTCGGATCTGAGTTTCAGGCGCCTCCCAGACGGCAAATTTCACGCTTCTGGCTTCTGTTGCTTCAACTATAAACCTGGGGTAATAATGCCCGCTCCACCCACCCATCTCACAGGGCTGCTGTGAGGATCAAATGAGATTACAGGCCTGAAAGCCCTTTGAAAAATATGAAGCAATCATCCACCCTGGTTTTGCTATTATTATTATTGTGGCGGTGATTGTGTGTAGGTGCAAATGGGAAAGCACATTATAGCAACCTGCACATCTTTGAGAGTGAGCTCGTTTGCACACATGGGAGTGTATGTGCCAGTTGGTGGAAGGGTGGAGCTCTTGTGTGTGCACCTGGGTTTAAAAGAGTGTATGGGGCAATGTGTGTGTCTATGAGTGCATCAGTACATGTGCACACATTAAAGTATCTTAGTATGATAATAGCATATTAAGATAGAATATAATAGTTCTATATACCAGGCATTGTACTAGACACTTGATATGGATGGTCCTTTTTAATTCTTGTAACGTGTTTGTAAAAACATGAGAAGGGGTCTGGGCCAGTGTAGGTATGCAGGCATCTGTGTGAGGCATTGTATAGAGCATTTGTGACATCCATGTTTAGTGGGGGAGGGGCACGTCTCTGATGAAGGTAATGGGATGTAAAGCAATGCAATGCCTATTCATCTCATCCAGGTAGCAGGGAATTTCTCCATGTGCTCGCCTGAGTTTCAATGAAAGGATGGGCATAAATGTCAGTGAATCTGAATATGTGTGCAAGTCGTGTGTGCATTCACATGAATGGGGGTGCACACCTGCCTCCCTGTTCCTGGGCCGATTAGCACAATTGTTTGTTAGTTATCAGCTGCCTGGGCTGCATGAGCCCCCAGCATGCCCTGAGCACCATCCCCACGCAGCCATCAAACCCACGCAGAAACACTGTGGTGACAGCAGCATGCTTGGGAGGGGGTGCCACTCTGCTTTCTGGAGTCACAGCCTGTGCCAGGCAGCAGACCCCTGCCAGGGGAATGTCCAGATTGACTATACCAGGTTTGGAGCTGCAGAAGCGCTCCACAGATGGACTAGGCTCAGAGCCTTAGAGCGAGACAGAAAGCCCAAAGGACCTGGGCCTAACAGGACAAACCAGTGCCTGGCCTGGGAATGCCATCTGAGCACAATAGGGGTTGGGGCTGCTGAGTGGCCAGGTATAAAACACGCTTGCTCTGCTACAGCCCTATCACACACGGCTCCCTACCACCCTCAGGATTATTAGGATGAAGTCCAGACTCCATAGTATAGCACAAAGGCCCACATGACATGGGCATGTGACTCCCCACACCCCTGTCTCTCACTCTCCTCTTGCACTGCACCAGTCAGACTGAAGGAACTATTCTCAGTCCTTTGGAGCACCCAGCCTCTGGGCCTTCTTGCTGCCTTCTCCTGTGCCTGATTTCTCTACAACATGGCATCCCTGGCCAGACAGTCCTCACCCCTCAAGGGGGCTCTGCTCATCTCTGCAGGAACACGTCCTGACCCTTTCTGACACCCTAGACCAGGGAAGGGTCCCTGCATACCTGACATTCCCAAAGACCCTGCCGTCTGCTTCCTGATGGACCCTTGCCTCCCTGTTAGACTTTGGTTGCAGGTAGGAAGACAGCACATTGCAGCTGTTCGCAGAATATCCAGATGCCTAGCACAGACCTGATTGTAGGTGCTTCATACATATTTCTTGAATGAATTATTCTTGAAAGCCAGTTGTGAGAGACTAGTTGTCTTAAGCTCTCCATACACAAATCATAGTATCCATCCAGACAGGCTCTTGGTCTCTCAAGCCTCAAGGCTGGGGAGAAACACCCCTTTCCCCACTCCCCCTCCTCCATCCCACCCCACCAATGATAATCATCATCCCCAACAGGTGTGAAGATGGCATACAAAATGCTTTTACAAAGATCCCAGGAATCATCAATGCCATCTCACAAGTGAGAAGACTGAGGCTCAGAGAGGTATTAATAGCCCATTAATAGGGTGACCAACTTGTCCCACTTTGCTCAGGAGCTTCCCAGTTTCAGCACTGAAAGTCCCATGTCCTGGGAACCGCCCCCTCCTCAGCCCAGGTAAAATCCAGGTTTCACCATTAGTGAATGGCAGGTCCAGGACTCAAACCTAACTGCAGAACACAGCATCGGCTGCCTCCTGAGCGGTGCGTGGTCTCAGGTTCCTCAGAATTCAGTTACCGGCATAGGCATTGTCCACCCTTTGGATGTCACCTGCAGGTCACTTGGCAGCCTCCTGGATCACCTCTTTCTGGAAACATGTACTCAGGAAGCACAGGGCATTAATATTAACCTACATCAAATATAATTCAAAAGCTCATTTCTACAGGAAAAGCACTTTACACAATATAGAAGAAAATCTATTATTAAAGTAGCTTCGTAATGATATTAAAGTAAATTTTAAATAAAATAAAAACTCTTCACCCACAAATTATTTTCATTTCTCCATGTCGCCTTTACATTTTTCTCTTTATAAGTGCCTATTTTTACAGAATTGTAGTGCAGTCTATGGATAATACTTGTTCTTTTCACTTCACATTATAAAGTCTGGCTTGGATTTTCCTCGCTTGGGACTCTCCATGTCACTAGCATCCTTCATTAGCCCAGATCACAGGGAGTCTGAGCTCAGGGCTGCCTCCCTCCCAAAGCACTCCTTCTTCAGCAGGGATTCTAACTCAAGGCCCCAGCTGGGCTTCATCAGGTTGCCATGCAGACACTGTCCTTGTGCGTATGTGCAGTTTTTGGGGAAAGACATAGTGCTCATCAGATCCTGAAAAGGTCTGAGGCCCAAAAAGGTAAGACCCCCAGCTCTACAGCCCCTATTTCATCTCCCCACTCCCAGGCAGGCGTCCACCATGAGCTTGTTCTGCTGGGCTTGGGCCGATCTAGGAACTCCGTTCTTCCCTAATAATACATTCTATTCCTTGGTTTCCATGTAACTTGCCAGAAAAATCTGGTTCCTCTAGACAAGTAGTCTATCCTGATAATTATCCTGACCATAATACCCACCCCTGAATATAAGGGCATCATCAAAGGAAAGAGAGTATGGGTGGGAGGTTGAATATCTTCCTTTCTCAAGGCCCCTTTTCCTTTTGTCTTTCTACATAAGGTATGCTCCACGCGGAAGCTCCACTCCGTCCCTTCCCATTTTCATGACCTAAGCTCTCTGGTCTATGCGGATCCTCGATGAAACCCTCTTCTCAGTACCACTGTTGAGTTTTAAGTGTTCCCATCCCTAATCAGGAATGCCACCTCTATTCACATTGAGAATTCTTCAGGATTTGGGTTACAGTGATTCACAGGCGTATATCGAGGGCCTTCTGACCAGACATAGGGCATAGATCAATTTCCCTTCTTTCCAGAGAGTTGGATGGTTCAAGATGGCACTGGGGCCTTTCTCTCACTGCTCAAGAGCTCCAGCCCCAAATGCCATGCAGATCCCTGGGACACCATGGCCCATAGGAAGAGGCTGGTGTCTGTTAACTATCTTGGCAGCACTTCAACACAGTGGATCATTGGACTGAGGGGTGGGTGCAGCTGTGTATAGTTGCTCCATCTGCAAGAGCAATGGCAGCCAAGGCTCTGCAGTGATCTCCATTGGAATAACAGTAATTAAATACTGCTAAGCACTGTGGGATAGAGGCACCATCATAATCACCACAGTCACCAGTGTGATGATCATAGTAATTAGGTGCTGTGGCTTCCCACCTAACCTGGGAGCACTGCCTGGGGTGAGGTTGGCCCGTCAAGTTAGGGCAAAGGGGTAGCCATGCCAGGTGGGTCCTTTTTGGGGTTGGCTAAGACTTTAGCCAAACTTTCTTCACGGATTCCTCCTTCTTTCTTCTCCCCTTGCTCTCAGCCTCAACTCACCCCAGGGTGAGGTCTAGGGACACAGAAGGGGTGACCCCCATCCAGCATACCACGCCAACATATCTTCTCCTATTGACAGATTTCAGGGGATTGGGGAATCTTGGAGAATTCTTAATACGGCTCCTCTCATATCAAAGTGAACTTTATTAGCCAATTTCTGAATGACACAGAGGGGCCTGGGATATAGCCGGGAGGGGAAGTCATTATTGTATTGACTTTGGGCCTTTTCCAAGCTCAACAGCTGTCTCTCTGAAAGAGCCTGTGGAAGCCAAGGGAGGGCTCAGAGGAGAGTTTCCTAGGGATGGCGTCTTCCCCAGGGCTGAACTCTTTTCTAGTTGCCCCCCTCATGCCTCCAGTCCTGAGGTCGGTGAGAAAGGTGAGCCCAACTGCCCATTCTTCAAGCCGGCTGTCATTCTTGCAGTCATCAAGTCTCGGAGCCAGGAGGGAGCATGGAACTCGTCGCATCCACACTCCATGCCAGGGCAAGAAGCCCATGCACAGCATGCCTGATGAATGGGCCTGCAGCCTGAGTCTGAAAAGTGACTGGGAGGTCATTCCATTGTTGGTCAACTAAGATCCCTGAACAGCCTTGCCTAGACTAAACTGAAATCTACTTCCCCAAAAATATACCCACTGGTCCTGACTTTTCCCTGTGAAGACACACAGATGATGTTTGCTTCTTTCTCCCTGTAGATTCTGGAAGCTTGGTGGTCACACCCCCCTTATACTCCTGCTGGCCTTCTCAACTGTGAAATCTGAAGCCACCTTCCAACCTCTCTGTGCAGATAACGTCAGCTCTCACTACACTGCAATGACATTATAAACTTCCCCTTCACTACTCCACCCCAAAACTTCCACCTTCACTACTCTCTTCACCTTCCCTCCAGGCTTAGAGAAAAATGGGTCTTCTCCTTTCCAAGGCTGACCCCTTCCCACTCTCAGTGCCCCCCCCCCCACAGGGCTTGCTCCATAAATGACACCCTATTTCACTTCTTCTACTTGAGTCTCCACTCCCTCACTGTCCACTAGCTTTTTTTCTCCTGACTACAAGATGCTCGGTAGCTTTTGATTTCTGATGAAAAAGGAGAAAATAAGCCTCTCGGTCTGTCTTGCTAACCCTCTCGCAGCTTCTCATCCACCTTACTAGTTCCGTCCGCCACCAAACTTCTCAAAAGCAGAGAGGGTACCTTCCGCCTCTGCTTTTTCACCTTTCAGCTGCTCCTCCTCCCACTTTGATTTGGGTTCAGCCCTTGCCTGGTCACCAACATCACTCTCAAAGGTCACTCGTGGTTTTGCCACTGCTTCCAAAGACCCCTTCTGATCCCCACCTGCTTTCTGCAGCATCAGACACTGTTAGCAACCTCTTCCTCCTCCTCTATTAAATTCTCTTCTCACTTGGCTTCCATGACAACCCTCTCTCCTGGCTCCCCTCCTCCTCCACTGACCAATCATCATCTGTCCATCCTACCCACATTGTTGCCAGATTCATCTCCTGAAGCACAGCTCTGACAGCTCCCAATAAGTGCTTCTCTGTTCAGAAACCTTCAATGGCTCACCACTGCCTGCAAAAATAAATAAATAAATAAAAATAATGGAGTTGCAAAATCAGGCAACTATATGTAATTCATAATATATAATAATCTGTCAGGTTTTCAAACCTTTTTAAGCAGCAGAATCTTCAAAATCCATTAAGAGAGATCTTTCTCAGAAGCCCAATTTTGAAGCACATGAAAACATATGCTCTTTAAATGTAGCTCCTCTTGAGCCCAGGAAATTCTAGGGTTTCCAAAACACAATTGGAAAATCAGTGAACAAATTAAATTCCTCAGTCTGCAGGTGAGAAAACTGAGGTCCAGCAAGGGGAAGTGATTGGTAGAAAGTGGCACAGGATGTGAGTTAATTGACACATTTTCATTAAAAGTCTATCAGATACCAGGCATATTCTACATAGTAGAGATACAGCAGAGATCAAAAGCAGCATGATCCCTGCCCTAGAGGAGCTGACAGTCTAATGGGGAGTGAATCAGGCACAATAAACCGTCACTAAAGTGGTCCCAAGTATGCAAAGCCTACAGCAGGAGACTCACCCAGTCTGAAGGGCTGAATGGGCCACTGTGAGGAAGTAATACATGTAAGCTGAGCCCAAATGGATAAGCAGCTGGCCAAAAAGAAGGGAAGAGTGTTGGTACAGATGGAACAGCTTGAGAGAAGGGAGAGGAGGCGAGGTTGATGATTGGAAATCCCAGTGGCTCCTACTTGAAGCCCAGAGCAGGGTGAGATGAGGCTGCAGAAGCAGGCATGGGCCCTTAGGCCTTGTTGAGGACCGAACACTGGTCTCAGAGTGCAGGCCAAAACATGCTTCCTGGGTGTGGCGACGTGACCATCTGCATTTGAAGATAATCCACTGCTAAATGTAACGTTGTATCCTGGATTAAATTGTGGAACAAAAAATAGACATTAGCAGGAAAAAAACCTGGGGAAATCTGAATAAATTCTGTAGTTCAGTTAATAGTATTATACTAATGCTAATTTCTTGGTTTTGATAAATGTACCATGGTTCTATAAGATGGTAACATTCAGGGAAGCTGAATGAAGGGCATGTGGAAACTCTATCATTTTTGTAAAATGCATATAAACCATTTTCAGAAAGAAGCAAAACTGGATGTGGGGAGACAGGTGGCAATAATAATGATGACTAATACTTTAAACAGTTTTCCTGTACACCAGGCATTGTTCCATGCACTTAACATGTTTGGTTCATTTAATCCTCACAACTTCAAGAGGTGCTCTTATTTCTGCCTGTTTTACAGAGAAGGAACCTGAGCACAGAGAAGTCAAGCTGCTTGCCCAAGGACACACAGCTACTGAGCGTCAGAGCTGGAGATTAAGAATTCCAATCCAGGCACATTAGCCCGCCAGAGTTTCCATGGGCTGGACCATTACATTTTACTCCCCATCTCAGTTCGGACTGGCTGTACTGTCAGAAGGTATTGTAAGGTCCAGGTAGAAACCACGAGTGCACGGAGTAGAGTAATGACAGGAGAAATGGAGCAATGTCACCAGACTTAAAATATATATACATCGGGAGGAATCAACAGAATTGGAATATGGTGGTTTAGGAAGAGGAAAGCAGCAAGAGGGAGTCCTGGGTTTATAGCTTAAGAACCAGATCCTGCTCTCCTGCTGCTTGGTCCTGTGTTTCTTCCTGTCACTAAAGGAAACCTTCTGGACCTTTTGCATTCTGTTTGCCCTACCTGTCCCTTTCTCTTATACATCGCTAAAATGCAAAACGAACCAGACTGCCTACTGTCCTGACACAGGTGGCACCCCTCCCACCTCTACACACCTCCATGTTCTTGTACAAGCTGTTCCTTCCACCTAAGATTCTCTCTTCTGCCTCCTTTGGTCCAAATCTGATCTGTCCTTCAGGGTCTCAGTTAAATGTCACCTCCCCCAGCAATCTTCCCTGCTTGTTTAAAGATGATGAGTCAACAACCATATTATATCGCTTACTTGTTTCCATCTTCTCCACCCAACCAATCCCCAGGCAGCCACATCCTCCTTGCTGGCCACACTTTCTTTGGAAGGTCATTTAAGATCAGAAGATCAAAGAAGCCTGACCTAAATATGGAGAGGGTGCAGCCAGGTGCAGTGGCTCATGCCTGTAATCCAGCACTTTGGGAGGCTGAGGAGGGTGGATCACCTGAGGTCAAGAGTTCAAGACCAGCCTGGCCAACATGGTGAGACCCCGTCTCTACTAAAAATACAAAAATTCCCTGGGCGTGATGGCACACACCTGCAATTCTAGCTATTCTGGAGGCTGAGACAGGAGAAACACCTGAATCTGGGAGATGGAGGTTGCAGTGAGCTAAGATTGCACCACTGTACTCCAGCCTGGATGACAAAGCAAGACTCTGTCTCAAAAAAATAAAATAAACAAAGATGGAGAGGATGGGAGGGTAAGAGCAGGGAACAAGAAGACATTGGTACATCTGGGATTGCCCCTTCAAACCCATCCCTTCAGCTCCTACAATGTGCCAGGGACCAAGCTGAAGGCCATCACAGTGAATTCAACTTAGCCCTGGCCCTTAAAGCGCTCGGCAGCCAGATAGGAGATTCCCAGCGCCACAAACTAAATTTGATAGGGTGTTCCCAGTTTAAACCCCTTCTAGCGGCTACAGGCATGATTCACGAATCTGCAGACCTCTCCCTTCCTCAAGTCTTAGGCTCAGGCTATGTCCAGCCAATCCTTTGCAGGCCCTCTACTCACCTGACTATTGCTTACCCTCATTCCTTTCCTGGTGCTGACCCCTTGCCTTAAATCCAGTCTCTTGAATGTCTCTGCCCTCCAGCACTTACTTTTGTCTGACAGATGACTCACCGAGACCCTGTGTTCCCTTCCCTGAAGCCTTTACACTAATGCCACCCGGGGCTAAACTGGGCACTTTTTCTGTGACCCCCAAACCCCCACTATCCCATATGAAATATATGTGTACAATATTCATATGGGATGAAATATTGTGTCTACGTCTGTCTTCCCCCACCCCCTCAACTAGATTGGGTTCCTTTAGGGCAATGATGATGTCTCTGTACCCTCAAGCCAGGCACTGTGTTTTGATTCAAAGAAAGCCCAGGTTACATGTGCTAAATGTGAAAGACCGTACAGTGAGTGGGTGAGTGTTTCATGAGAGTGCCAGATTTGACTACTTCAGTGAGAAACCGAGACACTCCGGGCCGGATCCCAAACAGTGGGAATGTGGAGCTGTCTTTGCCCCTCCTCCATCTGCCACTCCTACTGTCAGGAACCAGAATCTACATGTTATCAGAAACAGCCACTTCCCCTCTGCTCTGGCCCGCCTAAGAGGACGGGGCAAAGGATAGAGGGAGCAGTGTCAGGCCAGGGTCTGGGGAGAATTCGGCTCTCCTTGGTGGCAAACTCCGTCTGTCTTCCCCCCCCCCAGGGCAGGGAGTGGGGATAGGAGGACCAGTGGAAGGGAACAGGGCAGGCCCGGAGGGCGCAGTCGCCTTGGCAGGAATCCTACCACACCCGGATGTGGTGGGTGGTGAACGGGATGGGGCGGAGAGTCCCTGCCCTGCCAGTGACACTGACTGGACGATCCGCTTTCGCGGGAATCCCACAAACGTCTCAAAACTAAGGTCCTGGCAACTGGAGGAGAGCTCGGTTTCAGGCTCCGTTTGGGCAAGGGCGGGGCGCGGGGTGCTTCAATTTTTGGAAAAGGAAGCCCCGAAGGGAGCAGGGATTAGAAAAGAAACTCTACCAGAAACCTCAGTGGGCCCGTCTCACGCACTCCTGCCCACCACCGACTTCTCTGGCAGCTCCCAGTCGCCCCGCGCACCGCTGCCTCTCCGTGGAGCGTCCAAGCGGTGCAGAGAGGGATCTCCGGAGCCTGGGTTCTGTTCCGAGCTCTGCCATGTTCCGCCCCAGGAGGAACTCTTCTTTGGACCTTCGTTTCTTCGTCTGTGAAATGGGGCCAGGGTGGGAGCAGAGGGCTTGCAGAAGCCCCGCCAGCTCGAAAGCTGCTAGCCGGGATTCTCCATCCCGCCGGCTCCTCCACCGCCGCCCCCGGCCGGGTCCTAACTCCACCCCCACCCGCCGAGCCTCGGCGCCGCCGGCCGCTAGGGGTCACTGCCTGCCTTTGTCAGCGGAGAGGAGGGCAGCCCGCGCTCCAGCCCGCACCCCGGCTGGAAGGCGGCCGAGTGGCAGCTCCTGAGCGAGGGTCCTGAGCCGGACCCCGCGGCCCGCGCACGCCATCCGCCTCTGCTTCGGGCTGGAAGGCGCGTGCGCTCGGGCTGCGGCCGGGCCCGGGCGGGCGCGCGTCGAGGCCAGGAGGGGGTTAACGCTAACCCCTCCCCTTGGGCTGACATCACGGGCGAGCGGGTGAGAGGCTGGAGCTCGGCGAGTGAGAGAAAGAGAGCGAGAGCAGCGAGCGCGGCTCCACATTGTTGCGGATCGCCGGCACCGGCAGAGCGGCGGCGGCTGGGACGCGCGGCGCCCCTGACCAGCTCTCCTCGCGCCCGGCCGCTCAGCCAGAACCACCCGGGCCGCGGGCCGCAGAGCTCGCCTGCTGCCTGGGCCCCGAGCCTCCCGCGCCGCCGGGGCGCGTCCCGCCACCCTCGGAGGACGGCCGGCCATGGACGCCTGCAAGTTGGAGCCGAGCGGGAGGGTGTGAGCGCGCCGGAGCCAGGAGCCCGCGCTGCGCAGCCGGGCAGCCGGGCGCGCCGGGGGTGGGTCCCTCTCCCCAGCCCGGCTCTGCGTGGAAGAAGAGGGCGGGGACCGGCGCCAGGAGGAGAGCGGAGGAGGCGAAGGGGCATGACTCGTGCAACTTGCGGCGGGCATCTGCCGAGCCTCTGAGCCGGCGGCGGCCCGGGGCCCGGACTGCGGCCGCGCGGATCCCACCCAGCCCACCCCGCCCCGGCCGACGGCTGCGGCTGACCTGGATCCTCCGAGCGCCCGCCGGCCGCCAGCGATCCGCCCTCGTCTTCCGGGCTGGTTTCTGCAGCGCGAGGAGCGCTGCCCTCGCCGGACCCCCCGCCCCCGATGGCTCGGATGGGGCTTGCAGGCGCCGCTGGACGCTGGTGGGGACTAGCTCTCGGCTTGACCGCATTCTTCCTCCCAGGTAAGCGCACTCACCTCTGCTGTCCCCACCCCCATCCACTGCCTCCCCGGGGATGGGAGCTGGATGGCGGGCACGACTGGATTGTGGGGAGTGAAAGGAGCCAGAAAAGTTGGGTCACGGCTTTGGTAAAGGGGGTGGGAGGTGGCGCGGCGGAGAAAGAGATTGAGAAGCCGAACAGCCTGCCCTGCAGGGAAGCAGTCGGATGCACGTCTCTATGTAGCATGAAAGCACTTTCTCCGCTCAGTTCTTCACAAAAATAATAATATGTAATAGCGTTCTATTTATTTAATAACCAGCTCTCTGCTCGGGAAGCAGTTTGGAAACACTGCGTGTTACATAAATGCAAAATAATCACCGTAATCACCGTCTCGGGGCGGGAGACAACAGCCCCAGGGGGAGGGCGTCAGTCTCGGAGCTGGTGGGCTCAGGGTTTGGAGGATGGCGGGGCGGGCGGGGGTTCGTTTGTTTCGCCAGCCTCTTTGCCGGTCGGCTCTGGACGATCGGGCCCCCTCCCGCCCCACACCGCCCCACAGCGGGCGCGGAGAGCCGGCTGCTGCGGCAGAGGCGGCTCCTTGCTCACCTGCGGTTCCTGTCCTGGAGGGTGAGGCTGGGGCAGCCGAGGATCGCAACCTCCCGGCCTGGCGCGGGACCGGGCTCCCCCTCGGAACTCTACTCCCAGCTCTAGGGCTCTCCCTGGAGGAGACGCCGCGGGCTTCAAGCCAACCAGGTAGCTGCATGACCCACTTTCCCGAGGGTGCCCCGCGTGTCCTTCCTCGAGGTGCAGGCTGCCGGCAGCCGAGGGGTTAACCTCGCGCCCGACCCCGGGGTGGCCCTTGGTGGCCCGTTCTGACGGGTGGGGTGGGGGCGGAGGCTGGGACTGGCCCAGGCATATTGTGCTGGGGAATGAACTGGAAAATGCGTTTAGGAGGCAAATCCGACCGAGTCCCTTCGCCTGGGTTTAACCCTTTGTGTCCCTG